AGCGCAGAAGAAACGATCGCCGGAAATGGAGAGAAGCTCATCGGAGAAGAAAGAAAAGATGAGTAAAATGACTAAAATATCTTCATTATTTGACCTATTAAATATTTCCGGTGAGATTTGGTCGGCAATTTGGCCAGCGTGACCAAAATTGATAGAAATTGCATAGTCAAGGTACTAAATTAAAATTTTTGAAAGTCAACTGTTGCAATTAACACAACTCTAATAATTAGCGGACCAAAATTGAAATTTACTCTATCTACATAATGTTTATGTATCTTCTACTATTGTGAGTTTATGTGTCTTGTTTTATGAATTAATGTATCTATGGAGTATAAATTATGTGTCTAGTATAAAATGGTGTAAAAGATGATAATGATTCTTAGGCACTTAGATTGTGTAATTTTGCTAGATACATTGAAGACTTGATTTTTATGCGGAGCATTGTTAAATTTATTTGGCATACCAGTATCCTCCTCTACTTAGAAATATGATCTTCATTGTATATATGATTCAATCTCTATTTTATTTAAACTTGTGTGTCTTGCAGATGATCAGATAAATAGTTACTTTTTTACGCCACCTTAACCCTCCCCAATATATATAATGAGGTAAAAATATCATGGGGTGAATTATAAAATTATTAAAAAAATTTAAGAGTGGAGTTCATTTTATAATTATTGGAAACTTGAAAGTTGATGTAGGATGTGGATGTGTCCTCACTATTTACAGAGGAGATGTTCTCACCTGAACTCTTCCCTATACGCGCACACACCCTCACCAAATATTGTCTTTCGTTTATAATTGGTGTATATTAATTTGAATATAGTAGTTAGCTTCTTATTAATTCCTAAAAGTATGTATAAATAGTAAATTGATTATATTTATTCCCATTGAGACATAAATTCAATATAACAGTGACTAATAGTAATAGGATGCATATTTCATTTGTATCTGATGTTGCATCATTTTTTTTGTTGCTTGTTTTTCTTTTTCAAAATGTAAATCTCATAAAATTATCTTATTCTTATATGTTACCTCTTTCGCGAGTTTTTACACTAGATTTTATTGTGGAGTTAGGATTCTGATTTGAATGCATAAGATTAATTGTGCCTCTTTTGCCCGTTCTTACACAAGATTTTATTGTGGAGTTAGGTTTTGATTTGGGTGCTTAACATTAGTTGTGCTCTAATTGAGATGCTAATGTCGGCTAGCATTAAAAAAAAAAAAAAAAAAAAAAAAAAAAAAAAAAAAAAAAAAAAAAACCCTAAAAGAATGTCAGATGATGGTTAATAGGATGGTGAGTGAGACTTAATTAAGTTTAGGACATACCTTTCCCCTTCTGCAATTGGTCTGCTTTTCAATTTTTACAATAGAAATTTTTGGTTTGTTAATTAACTACTAGATACTGATAGAATATTACAAAATAGAAATATACAAGTGTACAACACATGTAAGTTATAATCATATTATACATTTCTTTAATGACAAAGATTACGTGGATATATATGTTTAATTGTTAGAATTCCAATAAAAGTGATCGAAAGTGCCAAAGCAATTGAGAAGTGCCAGTCTAGCTAGGTTGAATGGAAATGGGAACGAGAACAATAGCCCTATGATACAAAATGCGTGAGAAAAGTACATATATATAAAAAAAAAAAAATATAAGTGTACATTTTCAAATATTTTTCCTCATTTATTCATCAATATTAATTATTTATCAAATTATAATTACAAAAATTCTTTTAAGAACACTAAGAAAGTAGCTTATTACAAACATTCTCGTCTTTCTTGACCTACTAAGTAACTATTTAACTTTTATAATATAATTAATAATTACAATAAATTCTATCCCAATTGAAGTAATCGTCTTACTAAGATAATTTATCGAAGTTGGCCCATCAAGTAATTACTGTGACATGACCAATTTTGGTCCTCTATCAACAAAATCGTTACAATTTTGTTAAATTGAAGGGCATTTTGATCTTTTTAATACAAAGTGTATTGACCCATTATATTTTTTATGTTTGTTTTTTTTGAAAAATTCATAATTGAAGAGCAAAATGCATTTGTAATTAACGTAATTTCAACAATTCTTTTTATTATAACGGACAAAAATTGGTCATGTCACAATAATACTAGGACTAAAAATGGATGATTTGATAAAAAATGACTAAAAGTGTACTGTCATCCATAAATCTATGACCAAAAATGGAAGTAACTCTAAATTATTTGGATTTTAGTGTGCATTAAATGTTGATTATCTTTTGACGTGTAGTCTGGTAATGGCAAATTATGTTGTGGAACCGTGTCCACCTTTCAAGGTTGACACGGTTTCAAAACTATCATAATTGTAAATATAGAGTTCAAAATTTATAAACATAGTGTTTTGTAATTGTGAATATAGAGTTTAATAATTGTGAATATATAGTTTAATAATTGTGAATATGAAGTTCCAAAATTATGAATTACTTTCTTATTAATTCTTAAATAAAATTATCTGTAGTAAATTGATAATATTTGTTCGTATTGAGGCATAAATTTAATATAACATTGACTAATAGTAATAGCAGGCATATTTAATTTGTATTTGATGTTGTATTATATATTTTTGTTGTTTATTTTTTTTTTCAAATGCAAATGTCGTACAATTATATCATTTGAAATGTGTTGCTTATTAATTTTTATGGTATATATTTTTATTTTGTTAACTATTGATCGGATACTAATAAAATATTACAAAATACAAATCTTATTATATATTTTTGTAATGCAAGAGATTACAAGTATATTTATTTTTAATTGCTAGAATCGCTAGAAAAGTGATTGATAGGGTCAAAGAAATTGAGGAATGCCAGTCTAAGTTTCATGGAAATGGGAAAGGAGGACAATAATCCTGGGATACGAAACACGTGGGAAAGTACAAATATAAAAAATATAAGTATATTTATAAATATTTTTTCTTCGTTAATGAATAAAAATTAATTGTTTATCAAATTCTTATTATTAGAAAAGGTATTTTAAAATTTTCTAAAATTAGAGAAATCGGTTTTAAATATTTTATAATGTTTTAATAAATTTATGGATCGAAATATTTCTCCAATGGAAACAAATTTAATTGTTGAGATTTTTGTTGGATATTGGTGAATAAATCGATACACAAAATATATGTATAAAATATATAATTGTCCCGAAAAATGGAATTTAATTTATACAAAATTAATTCCAACCAATTTTGGTACGAAACCAAAATTACATATATATATGCCACGTATATATATTAATCAAATAGGGATTTATTTTATCAAAATAATCCCACCACAACTAGTACGAAACTAGTACACGGGACTTAATTTCCACGAAATTAATCCCTCCACAACTAGTACGAAACTAGTACAAGGATTTAATCTATCCGAGATTAATCCCACCACTTGGTCCGAAACCAAGAACAAAATAAAAGCAAGAACGGGTTTCTAACCTGAGGTTTCAACCCAACGCGAAGAAACAAGAAGAAGCAGAGGAAGCCCGAGTCGTGTGTACACACACTCTCCTTAAAACCGATTCGCCGCCTCCCGAGGGTGCTAGGATCGTTGTGGCGTCAGTCTCCCAGGATAAAACGGACTACGACTTTGGCGTTCGAGCACTCCAAACCAAAGCCCGGCGAACTAGAACACAAGTTGAGCACTCCGACGTTTTACGGAAGTGTTGGTAGAATCTCTTTGTAAGAAACAACTTTTTTGAGAGAAGATGAGAGAAAAATATGATTTTTCAAGTTCAAAAATTGGACTCCAACATTCTACCCAACACATAGGTTTTTATAGGGGAGAGAGGAGTTAGTAGCCCACTAAATGGCATATTAAACCAACATAAATCCACGATTTAATTATTGGATAATAACGTTTGAAACGGTCGTAATTATTATCGTAATAATTCCAACGGTCACGAACTTAATACGCGATTAATTCGTACCGACCACAACGACCCGTTTCAAAATATCTGAGTGACCGAGAAGTCCGTACATACCCGAATGTTTAACGAATTGGGACCGAAACCACACCCGAGTGGTCCGCAAGCACCGAAATGGTGTAGCACGAAAGCTCACACGAAAGGAGCTAAACTCCATTTCACTAATTAAGCCTTCCAAGGCTTAATTAATACAAAAGCTTCCTTCCATTCGTCCATGCATCATCACAGCACGAATGCATCCCAATTCAATTAAGCTTTTCAAGCTTAATTACACTTAAGCTTCCAACCAACTTTCGTGCAAACGAAAGTTATTAAAATGCTAATTTTCAATTAGCATTTAAACTTAAGTTTTTGACTTCTCTCAAATAGGTTCACTTTGAGAATCAATTTCTCATTCACTTATTATCCATTTTGAGCGTACATTATATCAAATTCTTCGTCTCACTACGAAGAACCCGAATCCACTTTGACCCGACCCAAATCGGAAGTGGACCCACATATATTTGTACCACAAAATCATCACTCAAAATGCCATTTTTAGCTAAAAATTCCAACAATTTTCCATATAGGAAAATGTCACGTAAGGCGTGACATCATTCAAGAATACCGTTATAGTAATTTGTTCTCAGTTTCATTTTTTTTAAAGCTTTGATTATATATAAGATTTTTCAGTGAGATTTTTTTTCGTCCTGTGTTTTATTATTCTCTATGTGCTGTCTTGATCTTTTTAGCCATACTAGTAGTCATAAATTTGCTTGTTGCCTCATTCTTGCGGTTTTGTTGTAGAGATCTTAATATTTTCAGTTCCACACTTTCACTTAAACACCAAGGAATGGTAGTTATTATATTGAATTGAATGCATTATTGTTCCGACACCATTGAATCGAATGCATTATATATTCCCGCGAGAATTGAACCAACTGGACCGGGCATGTAAGCATACCATCCATTGTAACTTACTCAGCAAAAGTAAAACACATTACTCTTCTCTGATTTAGTATTTCTGAAAGATTTATAAGTATTAAATTAGAACTGTTATGTAATAAGACTTGGATATTCATCAGGTGGGCATAGCAATTGCAATAAGATACTCATTGACAATGGGAGCATTTTCAGTCACACCAAATGGACCTGAAGTTTTATTGCTTGATTACCCCAGCCATCAAAGACAACTACTCCCTCTTCTTGCAAAGACGTAAGCAGCTGTGTCTGCATTTCTCCTCATTGCCCTTTCCTTTCTACTTGTGTTACGTTTTATGTCACAATTTTGATTCTATACTTGGTTAACCGATGTTGTTAATAACTAACTAAGCCCTCGCCATACCACTGTTTTTGTTATGACTTTTTCTTGCTCTTCTAAGTGAAAATTGCTTATCAACACTGTTCTTTTGCTGCAGATATGCCATGAGCTTTGCTGCTAACTTCTTGAAAAGGATGTATGTGAAGAAGAAACCTGAAATGATCAAAACCTTACATGTTGTTTCAAGTGCCTTTAAGGCTACCTTAAGCACGCATAATATGCGAACACTTCAGGTAGTAGCAGACATCACAGTTGTGATCAAAATGTCTTGTGGAGTCCATTTTTAACTTTTATTTTAGATTAAATATTATCTTGTGTTTATAATTTATTATTGTGATGAAAGTATTGAGATTGATTGATATAAAATATTGTATTGATAGTATTGTATTGAAAGTGCATTGATAATATTGTGTTCATAATATTGTATTGATATGTAGTTTATGAATTCGGTGTACAAGATTTTTAAAATAATTGGGAATTTTAAAAATAATAAATAATTTTTTTTTTTGTAAAAAAGTAAACCATCCGCTACCCTTTCTTCCCAGAAAGGGTAGTGGAAGATTATGAAAAAAAAAAATAATAATATGCCCTACCCTTCTACAGTTAGAAGGGTAGTGGATACTCAACTTTCCGCTACCCTTTAAAAGGGTAGCGGAAAGCCCAAGACTTTCTGCGACCCTAACATCCGCTACTCTTGTACAAGGGTAGCGGATAGTCATTTACAAGGGTAGCGGATGTGTATTTCTGTACTAGTGATTTACAAATCTCCCACTTAAAGTCATAATGTGGATCTTCATCCTTTTTGCCAACTCCCTGCTGCTTGCACTCCTGTTAGGCCAATTGAGGATCTACACCATACGAATTTATCGTTGGTAATAGGCTTTGTTAACATATCTGCCAGGTTATCTTTAGTATGGATTTTCTGTATATCCACACTTCCCTCTTCCACCTTTTCACGTACAAAGTGATACTGAACTCGTATGTGTTTCGTCTTGGAATGAAATGCTGGATTCTTTGTCATATACAAAGCGCTCTGACTGTCACAAAATAGAGGCATTTTCTCTAACTTGTGCCCGAGCTCCTCCAATAGCATTTGAAACCATATTGCCTCTTTACTAGCTTGAGTAGCCGCTATATATTTTGCTTCTGTCGTTGAAGTTGCCACAACCGACTGCAACTTCGAGACCCAGCTTACTACTCTGCCAGCAAGAGTAAACACATAACCCGTGGTGGATTTACTACAATCAAGATTACCTGCATAATCTGAATCAACATAGCCTTTAATAATGAAGTCTGATCCTCCATAACACAATGCAATATCTGAGGTACCCTTGATATATCTAAGGATCCTCTTCACAGCACTCCAATGCTCTCTACCAGGATTCGCCATGTATTGACTGACCGCTCCCACTGCCTGTGCAATATTTGGTCTAGTGCAGATCATAGCAAACATTAAACTGCCCACTACTAATGTACACAGTACTCGAGACATCTCCATCCTCTCTACTTCGTTGCTAGGACTAATTCATGAGGATAACTTGAAATTAATAGAAAGAGGGGTAAAAATTGGCTTACAATCTTGCATGTTGAAGCGCCGCAAGATTTTCTTCAGATAATACTGCTGAGAAAGCCAAATCTTCCTATTATTTCTGTCTCGGTGAATTTGCATCCCTAGAATCTTGTTTGCTGGTCCCAAGTCCTCCATTTCAAATTCCCTAGCTGGCTGAGCCTTCATCTCCGTGATGCGATCATTGTTGGGGCCTACTACCCAACATGTCGTCAACATACAACAGCAAGATGATAAACTGATTATCATCAAATCTCTTGCAATATACGCAAGGATCGGAATTAAATCTGTTGTATCCAAGGCTCAGAATGAATGAATCAAATCTCTTATACCAACATCTCGGCTCCTGTTTGAGACCATATAGAGATTTGGTCAACTTGCAAACCAAGTTCCCTTTTCCTTCTTAAAATTAAAGTATTTTGGTCAACTTGCAAACCAAGATTTCAGCACGTTCATTCACTTCTATTTTATAACTCAACGCCGAGAGTTGTGAAAATAGAGTGCTGAGAGTATTGATGTGCTCAGTTACTGAAGATGTCTCCATCATCCTGAGAGTGTATAATTCCTCTTCAAGAAGATCTTGTTGTGCAGTGATTTGGCCTCATAAAAATTTATGAGAGTATCCCATACCTCTTTTGCCGTACCTTTTTCCGCCACACTTGACAAAACTTCATCAGCAAGTGCTAAGTGTAGATTGGCTATAGCTTTGCTATCCATTTCTGTCCACTTCGCATCGTCAGTGAAATCGGCTGGTCTTTCTTCAATTGCTGCTACGCAGTTAGCTTTCCTGAGAACTGCTTTCATTCTCATTTTCCACAATGAGAAATTGTTCCCATTGAACTTTTCAATCTCGTATTTTGCCGTCATTGTAAGTGGTGTTCTTAATTCAGATCCTGAACAATATATCTAAATAGTATCGTATAATAGAACACTACCGGTCCTTTGAATAGTACACCAGGAAAATATTTCTGGAGAAGAGAGGTGAGTCACAAATGGACTGCTTAAATACCAAGTCTTAACCAGAGCTTTTCCTAGACATGTACAATCACTTTACCAGTATGAGTTCTAACATAAACGATACAGTAAAGATATATCTATGAACCAACCTAGGGCTCTGATACCACTTGTTAGGATCGAAACGGTTCACAACACCAAAATACAATAGCAACTTGAACTGGAAATATTGAGAATAAATTTCTAGTGTAAGATTTAAAATAAATCATACACAAAACAAGGCAAATTGAAGAAGAATTTTCTGTATTGGCAAAAGAATATTACAATAGGAATTACAAATATAACTCTCTAATTTTACTCTCTGTATTTTGCTATATTTTCTCTGTATTTCGAAAGAATGATACAGATGACCTAGATGAAATGAACAAAATGAATGAAGGATGGTGCCTATTTACAGCAGCAAAATGGTCTAGAAATTTGCAAAGCATTTAATGCCACATTAAATGCCTAGGGATTTGTAAGGCATGAAACTTCTCCTGCAACCTTTTCCCAAAGCAATACCTATGCTCCAACCTCATCTCCAACCTTTCATCTTTTGTCTTATTCAGGGGTCCTCTCATACCACATCTCCTACCTCATCTCATTCTTTGTCTTATTCAAATCTCTTCTCCTACCTCATCTCCTTCCACATTTTGACTTTAGTATTTATAGTCTACTTCTTTTCTGATATACACTGAGGAACAAGGATATATGAACAAGTAAAGAAATAATGGTGTTACACAAATAGAAAAGATGAATAAGTTTTAGTGTCCGAAGGCTGGATTTAAAAAAATGCAGGAAAGGGTTGTTAGTCAAAAGATGAGGTTAGTTCGAACATATAATGTTCTCATGCATTTATTCAATTTGATGTAGATGATAATGGGATGTGGACTATGGGTAAAATGAGAAGGTGCATAATCATGAATTGGTTCCACCGAGTAAGAGTTATTCTTTAGGGATCGCATAGATCAAATGTCTAAGAATCATCTCTAAAGGATTTGATGAAGAGCACGTGGTGTTGCCTTATTAGATGGTACAAGATTTCTTAAAATTAAAGTATTTTGGGGGCGAGAGGCGGGGGAGGGGCGGGGGGGGGCGCTCACCATTTATTGGTTTTATAAGTAGAGATGCATACAATTCTGTGTTGACTAATTTATTGAAGAGCTTGGATAGAACTAACTCAAATTCATTAATTGAAATATTTAGGCTGAGTGTAGTCTAGTAAAAATGACTTTTTATTTCTTTTTTTTTTTTGAAGTGGATTCTGACTCAAGATATTGCAATTTTTTTTTTTTTTGGAGGGATGGACAAGTGAAATGGGATTATCAATTGTTTGGAGACTTGTTAGTCCTTGATATAACATATCACACTAACAAATATCATATGATTTGAGGTCTATTTGTTGGTGTGAATCATCATTGTGTGAATATTATGTTTGGGTGTTTTTTTTTTTTTTTTAATGAATGAGAGGATTGAGTCTTTTGTTGGTTTTTAGGTCGTTTTTGAAATATATTGATGTCAGATGTCCTCAAATTATAATTACTGATCAATGTTTTTCTATAGTCGCTGGCTCGCTATTATTTGTCAAAGTATTTCCAAGTTCACGTCATTGACATTATATATGGCATATTGGTAAGAATTTAAATCACACCAAGGGATTAAGAAATCAAAATGTCTTTTTTTTTTTTTATTTATTCAATTGTTTGTTGAAATATACAATACAGAGGCAGAGTTTGAATTTTAATAGACACCGTATGGCTTGATATGTTCTAGACATTTATCAATGGTATTACGTGTCTGTAGTTTTTGTTTTATGTGCCTTCACATAATAACATGTGAGTTTATGTGTCTCTGCCATATAATATTATTGTGTAAGGTTTTGATATGCCAGGAAATAGTCTTATATTTGTGCTCATTTATGCTTGCTTTTGGCTGAAATGTTAGCTAAATAATGGTGTAACAATGCAAATTTGGTGTATTTTACTTGAAGGAAGAAAAGATTGAGTAATGGTGCAAGGAAGTATGAAATAACGCTAATCTTGGGAGAAAATGAGGCTTAAAAGCACAAGGGAAACGCCTGAAGGCACACCGGGGAACGAAGGAGTAAAATGATAGCGTGAAGGTCATTCATGTAAGGGGAGCCAGAAAATTCATGAAAGGGGAGTCAGGATCATAGAAAAAGTTTACAATACAATTAACAATAATACTAGTCATACATAATATCATTACATATACCAAGTATAATTATACTATATATTATCGATAATAATTTATAACAATATTTTATGTAATGATTGACAATGATGTTAATTGATACTTTATAATTTTCCACATAACACAAAATATACAAAATAACAATCTTTCATGTCATTCTTTTATCAAATAAAAGTTTTCAATTATTTTTTTTGGACCATTTTTTTACATAATGAATTGACATTTATTTTATGGAAAATCAACGATTTGGTCCCTCAATTGTTGGCGAACTGTCAATATAGTCCCTAAATTCCATATTGATCAATTTGCTCCTCGAAATCAATTAATTTTGGTCGAATAAATCCTTTCGGTTATATTCCGTGGTTCAACCGATGAGAGGTCCGAGTTAACATGGGCATTTTTATCTTTTCCCATGTCTAGTGAATGGTATGAAAGGGCGGCGATGATGAAGTCTAAATTGGGCCTGGTCACACCACCTCCTCCCTCCAGGACTTTCCACCTCCTTCCTTCGCCTTCCAACAACTCATCACCTCATGGCCGAATTGACCACAATTCACACAATACATTGGCACTTTCTCAAACACAAATTGCTGCCAAAAACCCTTCAATTCACCATTTTCACTCACAATTTCAATCCAAACACTATCAATTCTAGGTT